AAAAACCAATATTTAAACATTATGGTAATATTATTCATAGTTAATTTTATTAAATAATTAAAATTTGTTATACCTGTATTTATATGAAATAGATAATGTATCAGCCAATATCATAATACTTCAACATTTTAAAATTTTACTAAATAATATAATGTATATAAATATATAAAAAAAAAAAAAAAAAAAATGTTTTTTGTGTTTCCTGAAAAATTGTAAATTTTGAAGTATCTTGGTGATTGCACCGGTGCCTTATATTCAGTTGGCCATTTATTATGTAAAAAAATAACTACTAGAATTTATGCTGTAGATTAATAGATAAAATACTGAAATTATTGCTATTACTAAGCCTGCTTGATTAATCTATACTCGATTAATCTATATTATCATATAATAGATAATATCGATGTTAAAAAAATAAAAATAAAACTTTGATCAATCAGATAATCGATTGTATCGGTATTATCGGTTAATCGGGTTTATCTGTACCGCCAATACTCGATTGTATTGGTGATAATATTTTAAAAAGTAATCAAATTAAACTAGATTTGCACAATTTCGAATGAAAATAATCGATATTTATGGGAATAATTGTATTGAAATAATAGATGTTGTTGTAATCAAAACCATTTATAGTATAAATCCACCGATAGTTTTGGTACTTTCGATTACTTAAGACTATCGACTATCGAGTATTACGGATGACTATTGCACAAACCTAGATAATTGGTAAAAAGAAAGATACGGACATACTTCGCACGATGGGTGTGCAACTGTTGTAGATGAGAAGTTAGGACGGTAAGATATTGAGGGGAAATTTAATGTATAACTGTACGTGTTTTGATTATACATGTTTTGGAAGGCCGTAATATTACTATTTACGGTTTTAAAAGAATACATTTCGTAAATTTGCCCGTTTTCTTACATATTTCCCAGTTTTTTTCATTTATTATGAAAACCCTTGGGAAAAACAAAAAATTAAAAAAAAAACAAACAGAATAAGTATTACATGTTTTTTTACGCTTAAAAAATGGAGCGAAATTTCTGGTAAAAAAGTTGTTGACAAATAAAAAAAAAAAAAAAAAAATAATAATATAAATAAAATTAACAGCATATATAAAACCAATACATTCATTGCTCCGATCAGAATCCAAAATTATTGCTATCTAAAATTTCGGTGAGGGAGGGGGAGGGGTGAGTTGCTCAGCCTAATATCATTTTAATTCTGTTATAAATTTATAAAATAATTTCAGTCGATTTCGAATAGTTTTCGTAATCATTTTGCCGTATAAATTTCACACGTTTACAACAAAGACATTCGTATTATTAGTCTTTTCAGATGTGTCATTTGAAAAACATAACTCGTATACGTAAATATGTACAAGTTGTATAACACAAGGGAAATCAACGTATTTCCTAAAAAAAAAAAAAAAAATATGAAACTTTTTTGTATTTATTTTTGTATAATATTGAATATTTAATGATTGTTTATTTCTATATAATATCTGGTTTGACGAGTGCATATAAAGTATACGTAAAAACATAAGCGATGGCGATTATTGGGTTGCTGCAGATGTTCGAAAAGTAAAAATATAATAATATTATTCGCTTTGGTACTTTTACTCGACCAACAGTGCTGCACAGACGGATTACCGCGTAACGCGACTACGTGTGCTCTCGAGGATGGGAATGGGTGTTGACCATTCATGTGTTAGTGTCTCTGATTAGCTTAAAACGGTTTTAAAAATCTTTAAAGGAAAATAAAACGGGCGGATACTTTTGTTTACTGTATGTATGCTCTCAAAATTCATCTGTGCGCCACTGTCGAACAGGAATGCAAACGCAAAATAAAATAAATACTTAAAAAAAAATGAATAGATTAAAAGGAACCTTCACTGGATATTTTAAATGTACAGAATTCGAAGCCTCGGGAGACGTGGTGATGTGTCAGTTGCATGGCCGGTTATAAATAATATTCTAATTTTGGTGGCTAAAGGAATAAACTGCGATTTATTATCGACCCGTTGTATTTATGATAATTTTCTTCCGTTTATCGTCATGCTATTATAGTACCATTAGAATATTAATCGGTTAGACACGCTTTACGTTAGAAATATTGTAGGACGATTTATCGACTCGCCCGGTGCTTCAGTGTCCGCAACCCACACACATACGGCGGTACGTTTATAAGTCTGCGTTCACGGCGCAAATTGCTCAAATTGCTCAATGGTTTACGTCTTAATAAAGAAAGAAAAATCGTTCAATTTTTAAATTCAGAAGTAGTTAAACAGTTTAATTCTCAAAATTCCCGATATGCTTTGCACTATGGATAGGCCACTGTTGTAGGACGATATAGTTGGGAAATTTAGTTTATATCATATGTCCAATAATAAGCCATTGCTAACGAAAAAACGATTCTGAGCGGAGTTTAGTTGATATTGTTGCTTTGTCAACATTGTATACGTGATAACATGGTAAAATGGTTACAACAATGTGCGTTTCTATGACAACAATGATTGTTTAAAAAAATATTAAAATAATAAAAACTTAATAATAACAAAAAATAAATAAAAACGGTTACCAATGACAACCTTATTTTTAATTTTTCAATCTTTTTATAACCTTAAGAACCAGCTTTTCCTCATAATTTTGAATATTAATGATAATTTCAAAAAATAACCTCTGTAAAGTACCACCCGGAGAACATTTTCTTTCAGAAAAGATGCTATAACTGATAATCAGAGTAAGCTTTCTGGTAGAAAAAGTGTTCAAATAAAAAAATAGAAATAAACATTATTGTAAAACTAATACATTCCTCGCTCTGCTCAGAATCTAAAAGTCGAACGATTTTTACAAATCGTAAATGCATTTTCCTAAAGCCGTCGCGCCGATATTATAATAATATTATTAACTAGCTGTTATCTGTGAAAAACTTAGGTCATTCCGATTACTTACGGCTTTTTAAAGTCAATTATATGGTGGGGGGGGGGAGAGGAGTATGTTCAAACCGAGTTCTGTTTCTCTGATGGATTCTCGAAATGTTTGGCAATACGGGCGGTCAATGTAGTATACTTTTTTTTGCGGTATTTTCGACTCGAACCTGCTACAGGTAATTTCCGCACGTGTCATTGTTAATTATATATCTCGCAACGAAAATCCGAAATATCGTATACATTCTCGTGTTCAATTGAATTATAATATCGAATTGAGTAAACACTTTCTAAAAAAAAAAAAAAAAATCCCCGTTAAACAGATATTATTTATACAGTCAATACTTTTTATGGTAAAACACCTAATACTACCTACGGAACACGTAGTGTTCGTACGGAGTATAAATATAGTCGTCGTAACGTGATTAAATAATTCAATCGTCAGCGTTTTTCACCGCAAAAACCATCGTCTTTCCGGTTGCTTAACAACGTCGAAATCGTGTTACCGCCGTTTTGTGGCTTCTATAAACAAAATCAATCGGGTCGGGTTCTTTTTTTTCGCCCCCATTTTAATTCTGTTGCACCAGACCTCGACCTTATTCCATTGGACCAAATCGATCCGAACGCCATGGCGACGGAACAAGAGGGACCGTTTGAAAACACACGAAATATGACGTGTATACGATTAGTACAAGTTTGTAACTATACTGCATACACACTTCACACATATTTTATTACATTATATATTGGTAACGGAACGTATATTGTTCGATTCGTAGTTAGGCGATAATAATAATTATTATTATGTAAGTTGTACGCATTGTCCGGTGTAAAATTAAAACGCACACCGTGCGTACGGTATGGTCGTAAGCGACAATAAAATATTATATCATAATAAAAACTGCGCTATGGTGCAATAATGAAAATAAAAAAATCGGGATTAGTGCTTAATCGGGTGTACTCATTACTCAGCTAAAATACGTATTGTATCTCGAATGCGGTACGGATAAAAACGATCAAATTTGTTTTATTTTTATTAGGCATGTTTATCGATACGAGACGGTAAAAAAAAGCCGAACCTCCATAAAAACATAAAAACAACTAAATACTTTTAGGAAAGTTTGAGTGGTTGTAGATAGAAATATTGTGGACGCCGAACAGACTAAATAGTATTTGAATAAGACAGCGACAGATCGGTAAAGTGCAGGAGGGAAAATTAACAAACGAGCTGTTGTAAGTGTAGATACTATTAAAATATTATTAACATTTTCGAGGGAAATAGGATAAGAAGATATGCCTGAGTATATGGTATCCAGGTTACGTTGTAGGGTTGTCTGAAAATGAAGACTTCGATTGGCCTTTATCCGCGGAACCTCGATTTATTATCGGTGTTTTATGTGGCTATTTGAATATTCTTCTACTTTCCGTGTTGGTTTTCCTTTTCTTTCCCAAATAACTGAAATATCGATTGTCGTCATAACATAGTTTTCTTTACTACATTTAACTAACACACTACATCTAACACAAAGATGGTCTGCGTCTTACTGCTAATCACATTCACATTTCCCGTCATATTTTATTCTCCATATTACCATATCACCTGTTTTACTTCCCGTCTCGGCCGGTGAGCGTGGCAGGAATCTTCAAATGGTGTCTATGAAAACGACGCATAAATTGTTGAAAGCATATTTGAAAGATTATAACAGCATAATTTCCGTCAGCCAAGCCTACTAACCACGGTGAACAACCGGAATAGTCCTTTTTAAGGCTAACCCTGACAATAGAATCGATTAGTTTAGTAAATTCTGCGGTGGAATTCGCATGCGCGTTTTACGACAACTTCGGTAGTAATTCCGTGTTGTAAACTGGTAAAATATTGACAATACGTCTCTTATCGCTATATGTCAAATATGATATTCGTATTGTATATTTTAATCTACGGTGTTATCGATTGAAATAAAATTGTTCCGTTTCCAATGTGACGCCGTCACATCTAATACGACGCCACTTCTGTTACATTAAAGCAATATTAGTCGTAAAACGAAATAATGAAAAAAAAAAACAACTTGTTTTGATCTGTCATTTAAAAATCCATATTTATTTATCGAAATACATAGTATGTATGAATATTATTATCGGACTTATTAAAAATACATAAATCACAATAAATTATTATGGTCAGACCGACGTAATAAATACAAATGTGCACTACACTAGGGTCACCATAGTCGTATATTATTATTATTATAGATACAGTCCTTGGAACGAACTCCGCAAAGCGCAATAACTATGAACACACAAACTGGCAGGTAGAACTCACGCGGTGTCTTCCATCATGCTGTTTAAGTGTGAACATAGTATTATTCTTTTTAGCCAGTAGAATGGATGATGAATTTGTCAAGGCTTGAATCTAAGTTTAAAAACAGAATAAAGACATAAAGTAGAAAAAAACAATGCGTAGCCGAAGAATTAATTATTAAAGCCTACAATATTGTCATTTATATTGTTGACCGACTATACAATATATAAGGTTACCGCGAAAATTTCGTTGAAATACCTATCGTCTGTTTTTAAATTCTTTTATTGATTAAGCAATGATGGATACAAATTTATTATCAAATTCACGAAATGCATTTAAAAGTTTTAAAAAAAATCAACGTTAAAATTATTTATCGCTAAATTAGCCCAAACGACAACGTAAAAATGTATGTACACCAATAAACGTTTCCGGGTAAAAATATATCCTATACACAATTTTTCCAATGGAAAGTTCTTTTAAAGAAAATATTATTTAAAAATATCTATTAAAAAAAATCTTATCAATGTTAACATTATTGGTTTTATTTTTAATGAATTTTTTATCAAATAATATAAATTTTAATACTTAATTTTATATTTCATAAATTGTTAGTTTATTTATTTTATTAGTTAAAAGGTAAAAGGCTGCACTGAACAAGTTCGCGATATGTATGTATTAACTATTATAATTTATACATTTTTTATTAGGAAAAAAAATATCCCATAATATTTCTATTAGGGATATTGCCCACTAGATATATTTTGATCAATCACCCCAAAAAGAGTAGTCGAAAAAGTGAAAAATTACTATCGGAGAAGATTCAGATGAATTTAAAATATTATATTTATATTATGCAGCAGCAAGTATAATTAATTTGTCGATTTATCTGCAATATTATGATTTTTAAATTTTATTATTATTGTAATAATAACACGTCTTGAATATTCGGTATAATTTAATAAATATATAGAAAGCTTACTTCTCTCTTAATAATAAATAGGATCAGAAACGACCGGTGTGAGTGCAACGAATTTTCCCTCATTTGGAATTTTCAAAAATCCTTGGAAACATAACCTGAACTCATTAAGATTAATAATCGTAGTTGGATTATTTCCGTGGGAAAATCCAGCTGAAAAATTATCGTATCATCAAAATGATTAATAATACGTTTAGTGGTTTACGTACTTATAGATATAATTAATAAACAATTAAGTTATAACTATAATAATAATGTTTTAGTAATATTTGAATAGAAAATATTTCGAACATATGAAAATTACCAATAACAAATTATATTGATTAAATAACTATACTGTAGTGTGTAAAACGGAGGGTAGTTTATTTTATACACTAGAGTAACTTTTTACTTTCCTAACTCACCACAATCCCACCAACGACAATGACACATCGTGTGAAGTATAATATGTCCGTTTATTTTTATAATTACTTCTAAACGGGTCCACTCGAATCTCTTCTCGTATTTTGAGCGCATCGTAAATGTCTTCGCGTTTTGCACACTGCAGTATTTCCAAATGCCGGAAACTCTGGGCCATCGATTCGTTATCAATTACAATGGTACAAACGCCTTTCTTGCAGTTTTCCCGACCCACGACATTGTGTGGATGTGGGCGGAACGGTCTGGATTTGGTTACACAGGACACCACGACGACGGCCTTACTTCCGGAACCCACCAACTGTAACCAAAAGTTGTATTTAACCGTATATTTCGAAGAGATATAAGGTGATTTTACACTTAATCCTATAGTATTAATAATTTAACGCTTTTAAATTCGATTGGACGACTTAATTACATATTATGTTGTTACATTAACCACGTTACCAAATTTTACCGCACAGTTGAATTATATTAAATTGATATAACGATTTATAATTATATAGAACATTAAAGAGTATACTTTTGGCGTTTATTTTCAAACTCACCTATTCATATATAGTCAAACGTTTTAAAATGAAATGTTTGTGTTTTCTGAAATGGTAATATCCATGATGATAAATTGATAGTGAACCATTTTGGTACTGTTATAAACCTATAGTGATCGGTAATGAAGATTATCGTTTAAAACTTGTCCCACATCGCCAAGTACCCCCTACTTCAATTAAACTATCAATATAAGTGAATATGTTCTCTAATTGGTTGTATATAAAACGAAAATTTAAATTCGACATTTGAAACCAAAATTTCCAAAATTAAATAAAATTGATTATTTAATTACCTACATCATGACCATGAAAAGAGATAACAAATTGGTTGCCAAATAATGAGAGTTTAATAATAAGGAGAAATTATAATTTTGAAAGTTATGTCCAAACGTCACACTTCGTCCAAGATGGTAACACAATCTTGTGACCGAATTTTAATCAGTGTAACCGGTGACGTATTAACATACTGCACCGCGTATTTCAGACATTTTCGCTTGTTATGCTTTGCTCGATATACTTATCAATGTAGTCGAAATCTTTAGAGTGCGGGGGACGGTTCACTGTTAGCGGCAAACAAGCGTGTTATTCATTGCTTCGTAATTGTTATGCTTACTGCTCGCTCATGTCGGAATTTGTTATTAAAACCACGTCGGGTGGGTCACAGAGAAAAAAACGAGCCCAGTATCATTACACAGTTTTCGCTTTAACCCACTGAGATATCCACTGATCAACGCTTTAGTAACAGAGTTGATACTTACACCTATTTAAAACACAATCATATACCGGATGATACATATAGCAATAGCGACCGGGTCTGAAATACGGTGCAGTGTGTTAATATGCTGACCTTTGAAGGGCAACGAATTTTATATTTTGTGACCGCTTCCAATTTCACAGGCAAACAGTAACCGGTTATGATCAACAAATTTTTGGTAGGTTACCCGAATTGTTGGATATGTTTGGTTTTCGGCAGTGCTATGAACTCCGACTATTTTTACAGCGGATACACTTTCGCGCGCGTATAAACGATCCGAATGAATAGCTGCTGGTTGTTCGAGTATTTCGATGTACGGCTTTTTTGTAAATTTCTGGTCATCGCTCGACGATGATGGACAATCGAACATCTTTGCGGTATGCCTTTTCGGTACATAGCAGTCTATCATAAAAAAAACAAAACACATTAATATGGATGACTCTCCGTGACGTAAACCAACAATTTCTGGTAACTGCAATATTAATGTAAAAAAGTTTACTCATTCTTTTCATCAACAAGTAAAACCTAAAAATAGGATCGTATTGTTTTGAGCAAATTAACAATTTTAAATACTAATAGGAATTAACGTCAACGTTAAGAATAATATAAATAACGAGGTACTAATAAGAATAAGTGCGGTAAATCGAGCATACTTTGTTATAAATAAAATGTTTAACTTCGAGTTGTTTTCCAAAACATCAAAACACCAACTCTAAATTTGTTACTTGTGTTCAGTATGCTCTTAGTCCACATTCCAAGAATATGTTTTGTTAACACTCGTAAACAAAATTATTTATGTGGACCCACAAAAAATCTAAATGGAGAATTCGAAAAAAAAAAAGAACTCGAGGGAGAGGTCCCGTAAAACAATAAATGGATAACATCGTTAAAAATGCAATGGAAGTGGGTGATAGAGTAACGATATCGGTATGTGTACCAAGGAACAGTGGTGTAACGGACTCAAATATTTTCAGAGGCAAGAATTTTATTTCAACACCTATCTACCTACCGTCGAACCCACAACCCACCCATTGGCTATTATGCATTGAGATTTAACACTGAGTTTTTATCACTTTCTTAAAAATTTTCAAATAAGTAGACCTCTTAAAAGAAATCAGAGCGGCCACCTCACGATTGCCTTTTTCGGCACGCAATTGGCAAGGAATCGTGATGTTTGGAGAGCCTTGGTAGAAGCGTGAAAAAGACTTTAAATGCCTGTTAAGCACAAAAATAATAATAATAATAAACCCGATAGTTTCACACAAATTCCCTTTTTTGTTTTAGGACGCTAGGCGACAACTTCGTTATGGTTTCCTCAATGTTCATAAACCGTACTGTTGAATTAGAATATATTATTTCTTATTTTTTTTTTTTTCATAACATATAATACAAGTATAATTTCATGTATACTAGATATTCTTTTTACAATGATCCGGTGTTTTTTATTATGATTATTATTTTATTTTTTATTTTTACGTCCTTCACGCGTACAAATTTTCCTCGAGCAATAAACTCATGTATGGTTATAATTTGTGGCCACTTAAATAATAGTAATAATAATAGTAATAGTAATAAAAATCCGGTTTTGTGTACTATAATAACTAATTTATAACGAAACAATAAAAACAAATAAATATTTCCCACGTCTCATCATTAATTCATCGATATTTCATAGATAACCAGTTATCAAATCGTACCATTTTATGTATACAATTGAATTTTAAATTATTCGATCAACACAACAGATTAGATAGTATACGATTATAAATCATCAATGTTCAACTATATTATATTGGACACGTAAACGTTTTATTATGTAGGATATTGCGTAGCTGTTCAAATTGCGTTTATCCATTATCATATTTGAGATATTGCAATATTGCAATTGTTATAGCAATACAAAGTGCTGTATACCAACAGGGAAATAATAATACATTTATAAAAATAAACATAATACATATTTAGATTCAGGAAAGTGGGGTTTCGGTCAATTTTATATAGTTATCAAATACAACCAAATTGTTTAATGTTATAATGGCATAAATGGCATAATGACATAATGGTCTGAATGGCGTTCTAAATAGCTAAAATAGTTATGTCAAATAATTGCATTACTCTATGGGCTTTTTTCGACGAACATTTAGTATAGGTACCATAGAGACTTAAGATATTTTAATTTTTAGTGAAATACGAGTTACAATACCTTACATACATAATTTATATTATTTAGATCAAAAACTAAAAAGGAAAAAATAACATAAGACCAAATGATAAAAAAAAAAAGTTAAAAATTTATACATTTTGTGGAATACATCGATTTTAAATTTGGCCTATATATTGTTAGAATATATAGCGAATCATTATTCGGATATTAGATCATGGTTTTTAACTTACTCGTGTTATTGATGCAAATAACATCGGAAACCACCGGTTCGAGCGTAATGAATTTCCCATTTGTCGAACTTCTTAAGAATACTTGAAAACACAACCGAAACGTGTCGAGATCGATTGATGTTGCAGAATAATCTCTATGCGAAAATCCAGCTAAAAAATATCATAACATATCATTACCATCAACATTCGCAAATATCACAATTCACAATAATATTACGTTTAAATTTTTGTATACTATGTATCTTTTGTCCTGTGGGGAAGAAGGACTTTAGTCAATTTTTGAATTTTTTTTTTTATATAGCTGTGTCATATTTAATTCCCCTCCCCCTTATTTTGTCGGTTTGAATGGCCTAGGTGTTCAAAGCAAATTCTAACAAATGTTTTACTGGAAATTAAAATATTTCACGTCACTATGTAACTTATGTATACCTACTTTTTGTCATAAGTCATAGCATTTGTATGGTTTAAGCCATTTAAAACGTCTGCATTTAGCTTTATCCATTTAGTATAGGAAATGTAGTCACTTATAGTAATTATGTTATTTATTAATTTTAGATTCTTAGTTGGGCAAAGAATATTATAGTTTTACAAAGATGTTTATTATTTTTTTTTTTGACAACTTTTCTACCAGAGGACTTCGTCCGATTTTTACGTGTAGCAACTTTTCTAAAAAGAAGTCGGTGTGCGGAATTATATTAAATAAGTTATTTTTCGATTTTCCTAAGAGTTTTCTCATCAAATGCCAAAAACCAAAAAAACGGGAAAGTTTACGAAATATAATAAATATAATATTAGTTTTTTTTCTGTGGACAACTTTTCTACCAGTAATTTTTGCTCAAACTTTTAATGATAGCAATGTTTCTGAAAGGAAATTTTATATAGGAGGTACTTTAAAGAGGTCATTTTTCAATTTTCCCCGGAGTTTTCTCAGCAAATGTGAACAACTGGGAAAACCAGTACAACATTAAACAAATATTATTAAAGAAAATTATGTACAGCCTATTTAATTATTTTACTATAATATGGCATATATATTGTTGTAAAAGCATCACTACCAACTGAATTCCGCTCAGAATCGGTTTTTCGTAAGCAATGGTTTATATCGTTCCTTACAGGTATACATTAAATTACCTATAACAGTGGCTGCACCCGTCCTAATTATCCTTGGACGTCTTTTTTATACAATATATTTCGATCGTATTGAAAACTATATAAAATTGACTAGAGCCTTTCTTCTCTGGAACAAAAGAGAAACAATATATTATTCATTCAGGTAACTCGTAGAGTGGGTAATTATCGGGAATTCCGTATATTATTCTAATGGCCCGCTTAGTTTTTTACGGTTACGATAGTGAAATGTTTTTGTAATTTATACGATTTATCACAAGTTAAGATAATTCCATCAACGACGCCATAATTGTATTCGTTTGATAAATTTGACCTCATACGCAGAAAAAAAAAAATGAAACATCACTCACCAACTGCGAGAAATAATATTTAAAAAAATTCACCCGATAGTAATTTATTACGAAGTGTTTAACTCGTTATCGTTGAATAATTGCTGGTTTCCAATTAGTAATTTCCATTGGACATGTAAGGTTAGGTAATAATAATTACGGTCATTATTAATTAAAACATGTTTCTACTACTATTACTAACAAATTATCAATTCCACATTATGTACTCATAAAACGTAGATTATGTTACGCATTCGTGTTATTGAGTTTATTTTATTTATTTATTTACATTAAAATATACGACTAAACATTGTGTTTAGAAACGGATATTTTGCGAAATAGTTGTATAAAGCAGACGTCTCGCTCGGCGTTAACAAAATAAATTTCCTCTATTATTATTTTTTTTTTTTTATCGTTTAAAAGAAGAATTAAAAAAAAAAACCCTTCCAAAAAACAAAATCAATAAAGTGAAATAGTTTTGCTTTTTGTCCTTCACTGATATTTTTATGTAAATACCGAATAATTATGTGAACGGTAAATAATTTAAATAATAAAATTGTACATTTGCGTATTTATAAATTATATCAATATGTCAATAAAAATAAATTATTATCAAAAATAGAATCTTAGTTTGAGTTCAGCTCGACGTTTCTGTATTTTAGGTATTTCATATTCTGAGTGTAGCGAAGAAGCTGTTAGTCTTGACTAATATGTTGTTTAATTGATGCCTAAAGGAGTAGTTTTCTTGATATAGTCTTTTAAAATTGTTTAATATCGAATTTAGCTGAGTTTTTGATGAGTAACCGATGATGTACTTACTTCTAAACGGATCCACTCGTATGGCTTCTCGTACTTTGAGAGCGTCGCGTATGTCCTCTTCTCTGCTAGCGCACTGCCGTATTTCCAAATTTTGAAAACTTTCTGTCGTCGATTCGCTATCCATCAGGACAGTGCGAATTCCTCTCTTACAGTTTTCTCGGCCCACAACGTTATGCGGATGCGGGCGAAATGGTCTGGATTTGGTGACGCAGGACACCACGACGACAGCAGCCCTGCCTCCGGAACCAAATAACTGTAAGTCAAATGTCGTGCCGGACAATATTGTGCTATTAGATAATATTATTAAATGATCAGAAAACAATAATTATTTACAAAAACGTTGCGTTACCCGAATTGTTGGATAGGTTTTGTGCTCGGAAGTACTGTGAACTCCGCATATTGAAATTTTCGCGGTTCTCTGCGACTGTTGAAACCCTGCCGAAATCACAGCAGTGGGTTGTTCGATTATTTTAACGAACGCGTTAGTTTTTGTTAGTTTTGCGTCACTAGATGCAGGTGGCGACGGACTGACAGTGTCGTTTTTGATTAGATCTATTCCAATCTTGTCTGTTTAACAAATTTCATTTCGTTAGAAAACATGTGTCTCGAATTCGTTTCTTTTTGTTGAATTTAGTTCAAACATAGAGACGATCGCACTGTATTGTGTTTTTTATAATGCCTATATATTAACAAATGTATACAATATACATAAATTATAGTTAAAATCTAAAATCCACCAAAATTTTTATATCCATGAATCTCATTGTCAAATCTGCTTTTGGATATTTTTATTATTAATATTATATTTTATTAACACCAAAAGCAATAATTACAGAACAGCAGATAGAAAAGTTACAATTAAAAAGTATGAATAACAGAAAAAACTATGACCAGAACTAACCACCTGATATATTAAAACTACGAAGCATGCGATATAGAGGACGATCATTGATATAATCTGTTGATTTTACTAGGAAATACTAGGTTTTAAATATCCGTTTATAGAAAATGTAACCAAATTGAGGTGACTGTAGTTATCTAAACTAATATTAATTTTATTGTAAAAAAAAAATATCAGTTTTCATGTTTGTAATGGATAAACACAAAAACTACTTAACCGATTTTGAAACTTCTTTCACCTATAAAAAGCTATACTATCGGCGAATAACATGCGCTATATTTTATTTTCAAAAAAATTAGAGATTCCTACGAAAATTTCAATAGTTAGGCATTTTCGGTACGAATAGCTAATTGTTTATTTATTTATTTTTGTTGGTGACATAGATGAAAATTTGATTGCCATGGACAAGAAAACTATTAAAATTATTTCTATTATTTTTGATATAAATTTTACACAATTATATAGTGATAGCAAAGCCTTGTGTCGGGTCAGCAATAGTTTTAGATAAATTATTAAAAATAAATAAATATTTGAACTTCGACTGGCGGAAAATTCGACTCTAACGATGCTCTAGTGAAAAAGCTATTAGTTTTATAGAGTTTAAGAAATAATGACCAAATTAAAAATGGTCACGAATAAAATGGCCATATACTGAAATGGCCGAAAGGAAAAAAATGGTCGATGGAAAATGTGTTATCTTTATGTTATAATTCTGTTATATTCATTTTTTTTTTCAATAGGGTTTTGTGCGACGGGGATACAAATGTAGAGAAAAAGTAAATTTATATATTCATCTCTTAACTATTGATAAAAAATAACTTTTTATGTTATCATTTTTAAGATTTTCAAAATAGTAATTTTGTATAAAATATTATTCTAAAAAATATTAATTCAACTTACATTAATATCCAATCAATAGTTTCTTAGTAATAGCAGTTTTAATTTATAGCAAATAGACGTGAAAAAAAAAATAAATATTTAATAGATGATAAAGAATTACTGTGCTGATTGTGATTCCTTATCGCACGAAATATGTGAGAACAATATAGTTTACAAAATAGCTGTATTAAAAATTTTATAAAGTGGAAAAATAATAAGTTATTAAGGTGTCTCTTAATCGTTGACTACGTTACCTTGGCAACAAAGAAAAACATACGAGTAATTTATTACTCCCGTTCAGAAACGTTTTTCGTTTGCAATGATTTATTGTTACATAAACTAAATCAATCTGTTATCCGAACTTTCACCTATACAACAGTGGCCTACTCGAGAGCAATTTTTGTTTTTGTTCTTGTATTAGGTACACATTTTTTTTTTGATGATACGACGAGTTTAACGGTAGAATCAAATATTTGGAATCATGTTTTAAATTTACTGTTGAAATAAAATACGGGGAAAACAACAATAAAACAGCTCATTATACTAAATCCTTAACATAATATATTATTACAACCGATATAATTATTGCGTGCTTTTTTTAGTGCGTTTTTACCATACAATCGAGAAAAACCCGTTACGTCACTGTAACATTAATTACCTACTATGATTTTCTGCACGTTATCTTTTCTAAATTGTTTCAAAAAATGTCTAGCATTTGTTTTTCTTTGTAAACTATAGTTAGTACCTAAATCCTATACCACGCATTATATTATTGGTGAGTCAACGTTTTAAATTTAAATACATAAAATTCATAGTTACGCGTTTGCATCTAAGCGTAGTTAACTTTATTGTTAAAATCAAATTTTTTTTGATGGCGGGGGGGGGGTTAAATCTATTTATATACATTTTAATTTTTACGAGTTTTTACGTAGTTTTTATTGAGTAGGTTATTTGGTTCCTACTATAAAATGTGGATAGAATTTTTAAACTAAAAAGAAATGCTTGAAAATTTGATAGGTGGTTCATGAAAGATGACAAAAAAAAATTAATTATAATATATATTTTTTTTTATATATAAGAGTTTTAAAATTAAATTTTGACGAATACCGTAAATATTAGGGGCTTCATTTATAACCGAACTTCGCTCCAAATCGTTTATCGTTAACAAGATTCCTCTAATATAATTATATTTTAAAATTAACTTTAAGAGGTCGTTATACTCACATCTACTGTTTCGGTCCAACAGTCTCAGTTTTTTGAATTATGAACTATTAAAGTTACAGTTATATACAAATCAAAAAAAAAAAAAAAAAAAAAAGGTTTTTTGTATCTTATAACCCTATGGCATTCCCTCTAAAATATTGTTCTGTATAAATTTCATAATAGGTACTGAAACTCTAAAATCAAAATTAAGCTAGTTTTACTTATACTGTGTAAGTATCGTTTTCGCATGTTACCCAGTAGTTGGGCCGAGACAGTAGATGTGAGTATAACGTTCTCTTAATATAGCAGTTAAAATTTCCCGTTGAATATAAAATATAATATGCGTGTCCAAACCATTTGACTAGTACTATTATTACAACGATAGACCTCAATCGTTATATTATACTACCTACTTACATAATATGCTTTTCGAAATTTACTATACAGCTTTGCTTTAATATGTTAACAACATTTTCTGATTCGGATATTTGGCCAAAGTTTTCATTTTAATTTTTATCAAATCGGATATTTTATTTATTAAATCATTATAACTTACCGCAAACTTTTGCATCAAGACGGTTGTCGTCGATGTCCGAATGATTATTGTCGTACGGATCCATCGCCGCGATCGGTTTGAAAACGTCGACAATACGAGACCGGCACGCGCACCTGAAATCGTTGAATGTCAAAAAAAAAAAAAACCTAACACTAATAACGAACACTCGAACAAAATATAGAAACGCCCAGAGAAAGCGACGGCAGTGACGGCAATGAACGCGTTTGAAAGCGTTTCCGCGAGTTGGCGGTGGGAGTGAATTATAATGCGGCACAGTCCGTTTGTATACTAAACAAACAAACCCATTTCGGCGTTAATTTTTTATATTTTTTTTTTTAATGGTATACTCACAATATGACGATAAATGAGGAAGTGCTACCGCCTTAATTCAACTGTAAAAACTGGTTCGCGCGGGAAAAAACTACTCGGGCTATTATAAACGTAGTAATAAGAAATCAAGTGTTCACCATGAAAAAGTTACTTCCACTACTTCACGTTGATTTAATTTTTTCGAAATTGTAAATACAATAAATAAAGAGCTTATACTGGGGATGTGTGTGGGTGTTGTAGGTGGGAAGTCGGGAAAGTGGGGTACATTAAGTTATTTAATTAATATCTGTATTTAACAATAAACCCTTGCTAACGAAGTTCCGTTATACATGTTATGAAAGGCCGTAATATTTACGATTTTTGTCTAAGTATGATAATAAAACGCTTATACGAGTAAAATAAAATACCAAATTACACACAATTTTTTTTTTTTAACACTGAGTACGACTTATAATTTAATGGTCATTACCTCTCATTAAATTTTCAAGCATTTCTGTTTAGTATAACAATTTTATCTAAAAAGTACTTACGAGATAAAAATTATATAAAAAACTCGTAAAATTAAAATGTCGATAAATGGTTCAAAAATGACTAAACTTACTGTTTTAACCAATATTGTACCATGTCTAGAAAAAATAAATATAAGTTTTTATCAATATTTTTAATCTCTACGAATATTTTCCAACATGAAACAAAATTGAAAATAATAAAAATTTTATTTTCATAAATACTCGCTTTCTTTCTAATTTTTTTTTTTTTTGTTTTGGTTCAATTATTCAAAAAACTACATAGAAAATCAAAAGCCGACTTTTTCCGTGAGGTGAATTTCTAGATCCCAAATTCAACTAAATGGTTTCCTAACATTTTTTGATGAAATCAATATTTCTGGTAGAAAACAAAGTTGGCAAAAATTAGAAACAATAAAATCGTTAACGTCACAGCGCACCGTAAATTTTACCTATAATATTATTTGCAGTTTTTCCCAGTTATTTTGAAAACACCTTGGGAAACCAAAAAATGACCTCCCCAATACACTGAAGTAAAATTTCTGGTAGAAAAGTTGTTTATAGATATAAAAAAATAAAATAAAATAACACATCAAAGTACAACCAATAGATCCTTCGTTGCGCTTCGAATTCAAAAATGTATTATTGTTTGATAGTTTTAAATTATTTAAACTTGGATAATATTGTTCGTAATAGTGATATCGAAAAACTGAAACCAACGTGGTACAATATAAATTTTCTTACGTGCCTAAAGTTGCCCATCACCCTTTCCACCACTATGTCCAATCGATTTCAAACCTTCACCGGTATTTTAGAACCTAATTGGTTTCGTGGCAAAAATTTGTATCAAGTCTATAATCCGAATATTTTTCGCCCGAGCGAAACGGATATTAGAAATCGTTTTTTTTTTTTTTTTTGTAAATTTTGAGATATCACAATAAAAACTTATACGATAGTGATATGGGAGTACTTGTAAATGTATTTGAATGAGAATGTAAATATTTTTGAATTGATAACATTTTATTTTTCCAAAAATGTAGAAAAAATTGCCTATACGCAACCCCTTAAGTATGGGAGATGGAAGTATGGCACGTAAAATAAATTTGTAATTTTAGGTTTGGGGATTTAATTTTTTTTTTAGTTTTTCCTGCAAACTATATATATTCTTAAACCGGACATATCGATCGTCGACTTTAGAAGTGGATTCCAGTAACGTATGGTTGGTGTACTGAGGAAGTCGAATTTTTCTTTTATTCTTCCTAATAGTTTTCCGAAGCGTAGAAACCAGTGAAAAATGACGGAAACACTAGTATTTTTACGAAGTAACGGTTCTAATTTGATTTTACTTTTTATCCTGTAGTTCAGTTGAAAACAATCGTAGAGATTTTAAATTTTCGCCGAATACTAATGTTAAAATTGTTTATAGACGTGGTACAGTTTTCAAAACATTTTATTTTTCATAGCCATTTTAAATTTTCGAGATTTTTCGGTTTTTCATGGGGACACAATTTATATAAAATATTTTCGAATATTAAATACAAAGATTGTCACGATTTGTACTTATACGCTATGATTGTGTTGGAGGTGATCCGCCATCCACGTCTTAATATTTCCATTACCTCGTCGCATTCATTCGGCGTATCGCTGTAAAAAATATGTTAGAACGGATAAATTAATTTAAAATATTTTTGCGAAGGTTTTATTAATGGTATGTTATTAAAAAATGCATTAGCTCCGGATGTTCACATGATTTATTAAAATATACAAATCCCGTATTATTTCTACCACTTCTACCGCCTTTTTATTTTATCCGGTAAAATTATGACGTTTTCACGATAATAATATGGTCAGAAATATATATAGAGTTCCTCCGTCCATTTAACTGCGAAGGTCGAAAACTTTGTGGGTTTGGTTAAGTTATTCGACTGGAAAAAATAAACATAAATTTGGAAATTTTATCGACGAACTTAGCCGACACCTTTATAGTATTGGATATTTATTCATTAGGTTCCGATGGTTACCGATAGAAACCGATGGAAACCGATCAAACAATGTTATCGACCGCGAAAATCGATTTAATGAAACAAAAATTCGAAAAAATGAATTGTTCGTCCGGATCTACACGGTTGGAAACCGGAATTTTCGGATCGTCGAACCGAACGAGAATGCACAATGACCAGACGTACCGACGCGACCGTGTAACCGTCAACCGTACTTTCCGGCGCTCGATTTAAACGTAGGTACGTTCTCGTAATTATTTGTCGGTGAGTCATCCGCACAATGCATACACTATTAGAATAACGTCACCGGGTTTCTCTGCCGATACGACCGATTCTTCTAAAAACACTATCCTTCGGGTTTAACCGCTTTCGAACGTTAACCTTTTGCGTTCAATATCGTTATTTATTTAGTGTAAAATAATCTACTACGTAGACGCGCGATTTTGGCACAAAAACTATATCGGTGTTCAACGAGAAATCCGATATTACAGTATTCAAATGTTCAAAAAATTTCAACAAACGATTTCGTAATGTTTGACATTTAATTTTGTTACGGTTTTACACGTTTTTTTCCAACTTTGCAACATTTAAAAATAATTCTTCGAAACGGTTGTAATGACCACCTCAAAAATAAAACTTTACCACCGATCTACTGCCAAATAGATGATTGAATTATAATATCTTCTACCTTCCTATATAGTCTCTGATTCCGGGATTTCATTAAATTTTAGTCAATATAGGTATTTTAAACCCGTTATTTTCTGATAAAACAGGAAATTTGAACATAAAACAGACGGACATACTTCGCACGATAGGTGGACCACTGTTGCGATGAGAAGCTGAGAAGGTAGAGAGAAAATTTAATGTAAATATTTTTACATTAATGATTAATCATTGTTAACGAAAAACGATTTTGAGCAGAGTTTGGTTATATATGTTTTAAAAGGCTGTAATATTTACGATTTGAAAATAATACATTTTGTAAATTTTCCCGTTTTTTTCCCCAGTTTTCCCATTTAGTATGTAAACCCCTAAGAAAATCAAAAGTGACTTTCTTAAAATACCACCCCAGAAAAATTCTCTTTAAGATGTTACATTGAAGCATCTTCAGAGCAAGATTTCTCGTTGAATTTGTGCACGCAGTTTTAAAAGAGAAAAAAAAAAACATCATTGTAAAACCAATACATTCTTCGTCCGCTCAGAATCGAAAATGGTTGAAGAGCATATTGAAAATTGAGGCACATCCTTGACACTAATACCAGGCATTAATTGAATTTGATTCCCCCCTCCCCCCTCGACTTCATTTGGGGTCTGTAGATATGTCGTGTATATACAAAGCTAAAAATAAATTATACTACCGCAACAACATGATGATATTATATTCATATTAAAATTCAACCGAAATTTTATCACTTTTATCCGTTTATAAAACAACTATAATTCCCAAATTTGAGCTAATTTGGTCAGAAAAAGTCTCTAAACGTGCCCAAAAGTAGGGGGGAAATACATATAATTGTATTCCCGTCATTTACGATGGGTTATACTGGATTTTATATTTAATTGCTACTGATAACAAACGATACCCCGGATTTATTTTTGTTGATTTATAAGTCACCTTAGTTACTATAGATAAAACAACGCGACTAATTCCACTCTGAATTGTTTTTAATTATTTATCGTTGCTTTCAGTACCTATATAAATGAATTACCCTAGATTTTATACTCTCTTAATTTCCCACCTTTAATCTATGGCCTCTTTACAATTCAGTCATTCTATTACCAATGGTACACAAATTAAAATATGTATTATTTACCGATTCAAAAGAGAGAATATTCGTTTTAAGTACTATTTCTTTTAAATACCAGCTTGAAAATTAAAAATATACTATAAGTATACTTATAACTATATAAATTTATAGACAAAGGATCCTATTAAAAAATACAAACTTTTTAAAAAAAATAACAGACGAAAGAAAGGATATCTGTTTATAGAATGATAGAATGTTACTAAGCAATTATTTTTAATAAACATATATAATATTTTAAAAAAATACAAACTCTTGATAGTCATGATAGTCTGTTACCAAGCAATTATTTTTAATAAACATATATAATATTTTTCGTAAATCTAACGTTTAAAATATTAGTTTTTAAAAAGAAAACATTTTGTACTATTATATAAGAAATTATATAAGGAAACGCTTTCAAAAATGGAATTTTCTATCAACATGCAAGACGTCATCAAGATGTCGCTTGATACTGTTAACGTGAGTAGTCTACATTAGTGAGCAGGTATGAGATATAATTTTACACCGGTAAAATGAACACGGGACCCAACCAAACATATATTTGTTTATGGGCGTAAATAAAAAATGACAGAAGTTAATTAATTGTATTTTTTCCTTTACTGGTCTAAACTTACGTACTAACCGACTCAGATTGAGTACTACTATATAACCGTTTTCCTTCTTTTGATTAAAAATATACATCTGTGGTTAGGTGCAAGAAAGGCCAATGTCACATTTTGTGATTGTTGGGAAATTGGCTTTGAAATTTCAATTCTCCATAGTAGGCTCTGTGTATTTTATTAAATGCGAATTTTTGTGTTTACATATTTACAAAAACTTAGACAATTTCTAT